TGCTGGGCTTCCTGCACGAGCACGGCGGGAAGGTGCGCAACTCCGAGCTGCTGAGCCGCTTCAAGCCGCTGCTGGACGCGGGCGACCCGCGCGGCCGCGCCGCCCGCAGGGACCGCTTCAAGCAGCTCGTCAACGACGTGGCGGTGGTGAAGGAGCTCGACGGCGTCAAGTTCGTGGTGCTGAAGAAGAAGCTGCGGCCGCGGGAGGCGCCGGAGCCCCCGCCCTCCTGCGCCCCCAGCGCCCCCGAGCCCGAGAGCACGTCCATCCCACCGGTGGACACCGCTGCCTCGGGGGCTCCATCCTCGGCCTCCGCGCAGCGGGCGGTGGAAGCCCCCGAGGACCCGGACCCGCCGTCAGCGCCCCCGAACACGCCGACTGGGGAGCTGTGGCCCAGCCCCGCGACCCCGCAGTCCGGGGGGCCCTTGGAGCCGGCCCAGCCCTCCGAGGGCCTCTCTGCAGACGTGGCCCCACCGGCTAGGGCACCGTCCGAGGCGGCCTCGCCGCACGCAGAGCCCCCAGACCTGGAACCCGGGCCCGGGGCGACGCCAGGGCCGCCGCCACCCCCTCGGCGCGCGCCTCCCCAGAAGCCCTGCATGTTGCCGGTGCGCTGTGTCCCGGGCCCCGCCGCGTTCCGGATCCGAGCCGAAGAGCAGGGCCTGCGCCGGCAGCTGTCGGAGGAGCCGAGCCCGCGGAGCTCCCCGCTGCTGCGGCGGCGGCTCTCGGTGGAGGAGTCTGGCCTGGGCCCCGGCCGCTCCCCGCACCTGCGGCGCCTGTCCCGCGCCGGCCCGCGCCTGCTGAGCCCCGACACGGAGGAGGTGCCCTTCGCGCCCCCGCCGCCGGCCGTGCCCCTGGAGCCGGCGGAGCACGAGTGGCTGGTGCGGTCGGCCGCTGGCCGCTGGAACCACCAGCTGCACGGCCTCCTGCTGCGCGACCGCGGCCTGGCCGCCAAGCCCGACTTTCATGTCTGGGTTCACGGCCCTGCATTTGGGCCGCCAAGAGTGTCGACCGCTAGATGGTGCTGCAGCTGTGGGGAAGGTGGCCCCCGCTTCGGGGGGCGCCCCCCAGTCGAACGTGAAAGGGGGCTTTGCACGGGGGGCTTACACGGGCCCTGCACCTGGCGGCTCTTCACGGCCCCCGAAGGAAGTGGCCGGGGCTGCTGGTGGGCCTGGGGGGCGCAAGGTGCACGTGCGCGGCTTACAGCGGGCGGCGGGCCCACCAGTACCTGCGGCCGGGCGCCTCGTATGCGCTGCGCCGGCTACTTGGCGACCCTGGCCTGCAAAGCTCTTTGGAACCCAATGGGACCGGTGGTGTGAATGGCAGCCTTGTGGTCCGGCGCCCGGTGCAGATGGCCGCCACCATCCTCAGTTCCACCACAAGCGCGTTTCTGGGCGTCCTGGCCGACGACCTGATGCTCCAGGACCTGGCTCGAGGCTTGAAGAAGTCGGGCTCCTTCAGCAAGTTCTTGGGTGCCTCGCCCCTAGCTCCTCGTAAAAAGACAAAGACCCGCAGTGGCCTGCCGGCCTTTTCAGAAATCTCTCGGGGATCCATTCCAGGGCCTTTCGCTGGTCTCATGCCCAGCCTGCCCCCCACAACCTGACAGTCCTGAGGCTACTGCGCTGATCTAATCCGGCCTGGCCCTCCGGCTAAGCCTGCGCATGACCGCGGCCCAACACCTTCGGCTCCATCCGGTTTCCAACTTTGTCCACTACAGTGTTTTACCCCGGTGGGCTTATGCCTCCAGCTTCTGTCTGTAGCTTGACCTGCCTTCAGAGATGGGATTCCAGGCCTCAGTGATAGCTTCCTATGAAAAATGCCAGAAGTCAGGCTTAAACTTTGGAGGAGACTTGAAATTTAGGATCAAAGGTTAAGGGGCAGCAGCTGGTCTGGTCCCTTCATGAGTTAACCCAGTGCCTCTGCATCTATACACTCCCAAGCCAGAACACGTTGCAAGGGTCTCTAAGTGTTGTGTGAGGGTGGGTGGTTTGTCAGCTGTCAGATACTGGTGGTTTTGTAATTTGATGCTTTTATCCCGTTTTTAAAATTGAAATGAGGTAAAACAATTTTCATAATAACCTTTTGAAATTATATTTTTCCATTTTTAGGCAAAATGCTTAGACATTGTTGATCTTTGGTAAAGATTTTGGAATTCTATTTAAAAATGTAATCACCGAGATCTAAAGGAAATTAGTCCCAACCAACAAAAATCTTAAACGTTTATCTACCTCATTTTAGGCAATCAAGAGTTCAGAGAGTCTTGAACACAGAATATGACCATTGCAAATGTAATTAATTTCACTTGTACTGTGAACGCTAAATATTAGGAAGCAAGTGTGTCTTGGGAGTAAAGGTGATTTACTAATAAGAAAAGAGACATTTGGACAAATACTTTTAATTTGTGGTTATCTTTATGGTGAAATAAACACATGTCTTCGGCACTGGTGGGTGGCTATTTTGATTTGGCATGAATATTTAATTAAATGTGATTTATGTGAATTGCCCTGTTGTACCATATTTCTCATTCTGTGGTTTTTAAAATCTGGCTGAGACTTTCAGTGCAGTAGGTGACTATTCAAAGTTGGGCTGCCATTCAAAATATATACATATATATATACACCAGAAAAATAACTGGTAAAATAGTAATGAATACAATTAAGGACCAACTATTTTACATGAAAGTTCTGTACAAATAGAAAGTACGTGACATCCATTTCTGAAAGCACCTGAGGAAGCAAACAACTTAATCCAAAATAACAAATGTGAAGTCTGCTCAGTGACCTCAGGGGGGTGACTTGATGTCTCTGGACCTTTGCTCCTTTCTATAACTGAGAAGGTTTGTAGGTATAGCCAAGATCTCCCAGGTTCAAGACAGTGTCACTATAATGGCTTTTTTGGTTTGTTTTAAAGATGTGGAATCTATTTGCTCAACCTCTTTTTATATCATATGGTGGTAATACTCTGCTTTTGCAAATTGTGTTTGCATGTCGTTCGTTGTATCAAATAGCTTTTGTGGCACAAGGTGGGGCTCCTCTCCCACATAGACATATTTCAGTGAGGCTTCTGAAATTATTTAAGGCAGTCCTTCGTGGAATGTTTTGATTTAAGCAATGAAATAAACCGTCTCCTATTTTGTTTCTGCTTGTGTGATGATGTACTTCCCTTAAACCTTTTACAGCTCTTCCCACTGTAGTTTTCTTTCCTTCTCCTTTTATCTACTTAATCTCTCCCTTTTCTCCTCATCCTTCTTCTGCCACTTTATCATTGAAAGAGTTTGAATTGCTCTGCAAAATAAAAGGAGTCAACCCCACATGGTTATGGTAGCCAAAACTGTAGATAAATGTAAGCTCTGATCTGCCCTTCCTACCTTCCTTGCAAGAACTCTAGCTAAGCTGCATAAATTATTTTTAAATGCAGATGAAATCTTCTACCTCTGCAGGAAAATTGTGGGAGGCGATAATTATAGCAATCTGAGTGGCTGAAGGTCTAGAAGGCAATAAAATATTAGAGATTTTCCATGGTCAAAGAGAGGCTTGAGTTGACTAAAATAGGGTAACAAAGGTCACAAATACAACTATGACCCACCTTGAGAAAGATTAAAATCTAAACCAGCTGGGTAGTAATAATAATAACTAATGTTTATTGCACACTTAAATTAGAGGAGGCTTTCTCAAACTGCCAGGAGAATCTTCATGTTTCAAAAGAGTGGGCTGCAATCTTTCTAAATGAGGTAAAACAGCCCTAGCCGGTTTGGCTCAGTGAATAGAGCTTCGGCCTGTGGACGGAAGGATCCCAGGTTCGATTCTGGTCAAGGGCACATGCCCAGGTTGCGGGCTTGATATCCAGTAGGGAGCATGCAGCAGGCAGCCAATCAATGATTCTCATCATTGATGTCTCTATTTTTCTCTCCTTCTCCCTTCCTCTCTAAAATCAATAAAAATATTTTTTAAAATAAATAAAAATAAATAAATGAGGTAAAACATTTGACAAGAGTTAAGATCACTAAGCCTAAAACTCCAGTGTTAGAAACCACTGCTTTTCCTTGCAGGCCAACACTTTCTGAAATGATAAGGTAAATCACTAGGAAATTATGGTTTGATGTGCCTATGGAAAGTTTTCAAGAACCATATATTGCCTAGCAAGGAGGTACACTGGTGGAAGGGTATTTCCAGCGGACACACAAAAAGTAATTGTGTATAAGTTAAGGCAATGTAGCTGGTTAGAATTTCCACAGGGAAGAGAATCACTCCTTTTAATAGGGAGAATTGTTGATGTAGATGCATGTGAGTCACGGCCAGAGCAAGCTTTTGAATAAAGTTTTTATTTCTTTATAGAAGGTTGGAGGTTGTCTTTGAGCATGCCTCACTTAACCAATGGAGACCAGGGTGAGGGCAATACACATAAGGCCTTTGTTTATTACGTGCCAGGGACAGTTGTAAACACTTTGCAGATACTAACTACAACCTTAAAGGTGTGTACTATTAGTATGCAATTTTAAAGTGAGGAAACTGAAGCCTAGAGAAGTTGCAAGTGGCTTGTTCAGGCCTCACAGCCAGGTAAGTATCAGTGGGCTGGCATCCTGTGCTCTTCCCATTACAATATCCTGTTGCAGAAAAGCAAGGTGGCCTCAATCTCAGCTCTTTACCCATTTAGTGACCTTAGGAAAGTCACCCAATTTTCCAAGCTCCATGTCCCTTTTCTGTGGGACATAAGACTCACAGTATCTACCCTACAGGCTATAGTGGGAGGAGCATAGGAAATGAGTGGGTCGAGGCCTTTGGGAACTACAAACCAACCTGAAATATTACCAGGGTGCCAAGCTGGTCCCACAGGGGTATCTAGCGGCACTCCCAAATAGCTCTGATTGGTCACTGTGCTTCACATGATCACCACTGTTTACCCTGTTAGTGACTGTACACATAAGTAACAATCAAGCCCTGGCCAGCTTTACTTAGTGGGTAGAGTGTCAGACCAAAAACTGGAGGGTCTTGGGGTTTGATTCCCGGTTAAGGGCACATACCTGGGTTGCAGATTTGTCCCCAACCCTGGTCAGGGAATATGCAGGAGGCAACCAATTGATATGTTTTTCTCTCATCAATGCTTACCTCTCTCTCCCCGACCCCTACTCTTTCCCTCCCTTCCACTCTCTCCAAAAATCAAAGGAAAAAATCCTCTGGTTAGAAATAACAAAAATAAATAAATACCAATGGACTTGGCTAGAAAAAATGTATCCCACAAAAGGGAACTTATTCCATACTCTCTATGTAATATTGATTTAATTAAGAGACATAACAATGTCTTTCTTAATTCATATTTCTCTAGAATCCCTACCCCCACCTTCCAGAACTAGACAATTGTCATTCGGCCCTCAACACACAGTCATAAAGCTAGGCACCCCTAGTGTTACTGTTATATTGTAAATCAGCGAGCTGAACATAAGACACCTTAATAAGCCAAATTAATTAGGAGTCTTTATTATGCCTTCGGGCTCAGAGGAATATTGTTTCCAGAGTCTGAGCAAAAAACATGGAGGAAGCTTTCCCTTTTTATATTTTCTAGGTCTCTGTATCCCAAATATGGAATGAGACTTCCGTAGGCTTTAAAAAAAATAATAAAAGAAGCCCTGTGTGCTGGAATGGGAGGACAGTGGGCTTAGTAACTATCTTGCAGGGAGCTTATGGCCTTGAGCACAGCACAACTCAGATAAAACCAGAAGAAACCTGGCATGGGAGGAACCAGACCCTTACGTTAGCAGAGATTTGAGCAAGCATGTTTAAAGAAGCCAAAATAGCAAAATTAATTAACAGAACAAGGGACCATCTGTTTTTTGTGGAAAATTTTAAACAGCAGTTTTTACAACATAGAGGTTACCGGAACAAGATGGCCCATGCTTCATTATAGGCAGTTAGTCATGAGCAGAGCAAGGACGATGGGCCAGGTACAGGTCACCAGGGCAGAAAGCCCTGGGTGCCTCGCAAGGGGCAAAACTGGGAAAACAAGAACCTCACCCCCAGGGTAACATTTCCACCACTAGCATATTGCTGGTCCTATGGTTTAGACTGCCCGCCTCCCCCCCCCCCCCCCCTCCAAAAAAAAAACAAAACCTTTTCTTTCTTTAAAAATAACACCAAGGCACCCTTTTTATTTTCGCCTCCGGGGCCCCAAAAAACGGCAAAACACAAGAAAAGGGCTTCCTGGGTTGCTTAGGAAACAGGTGCGTTTGATAAAAACCCCCCCGCCCCGGGGGCCCAAAACAAGCGGGGGAGACCGGGACCCTTAGGAAAAACCCCCCCTAAAAAACCGGCGGGGCTTTCTTTTGGGGCCCCCCCCCCCGAGGGCTCCCCTTTTGATTCCCCCCTGCCAGAAGGGAGTAAATTCCCCATAAAAAAATAAGAACACGGTGGGCCTCCCCCCGTAGGGGGAGCCCCCCCCATTCCCCTTTCTCCTTCTTCTTCCCCCCACAGGGCATGCTAAATCTAATCTCCTACATTCTAAAGACCCCATGGAGGCTTGCGCCCCGGGGAGCAATGGGCAGTGGCAGCTCCTCCCAGGCTAGTCCCCTGAACCTGTCCCCAAGGCCCCCTTTTCTCTGACTTCCCAGAGAGCTATGGCAGCCAGCCTAGGCTCTCCTGTTGCTTCTATGTTAAGCCCTTCCTTGTCTTACTGTCTCCAGCTTTAATAAATGTTCCCTCGGAGTCACCTGGACTCATGCTGTGAAATACCCCCTCCCCCCCTGCACACTACTGCTGGTCCTAGGCAGAGCGGCTCAGGTCCCCTTTCCAGTAACACCAGGACATGCATTCTCCCCTCATTTGGGCCTTTTCCTTTAATAAGTTATTTGACCTTTTAAAATGTTTGCATAAATAAACAAACTCTATTCTTCTCCAGGTAGCTCTTTGCCTTCAACCTCTGCCCTGGCCTCACCATTCCAGAACTGCCACACCTCTGGACTTGAACCCTGAAGCAGAAGTAGCCTCAGGTGTGGCTACAGGGAAGTGGAAAGAAGGGGAAGGAGAAGGAGGGGGAGGGACGGAGGGGGGGGGGGAGAGAGAGAGAGAGAGAGAGAGAGAGAGAGAGAGAGAGAGAGAGTCGACAGACCTCTCCTGCAAGGGGGTGGAGGGGGAGGAAGTGCTCCTAGTAGGAAGCTGATGCTGATTGAAATTTCAAAGACATCAGGTAAGCACCTGTTGTGGTAATGACACTGCAGGGTCGTAGAGAAGACTGCTTTATAACAATTGCCTCCCACCACCCCCACACTCCCCGTTCACCTCCCCTCTCTGCGGTTCTCAACCACAATTGATCTAAGTCCCCTCTTAAACTTCTGATTTACAAGGATCCCCGAGATTTTCGCCAGCCGCTCGCGGAGGTACGTGGCGTGCGGATCCGGCGGTGCCAGGCAGATTGGCGCCGCTTTGGGGCACGCGAACACTGCTTCCCTATTCCGTTTCCAATCTGCAGTCTGAAGGTAAAAGTACACGAATAACACCCATATTAGGAGCAGCAGCGAGGGCGGGAGGAGGCGAGCCGGGGAGGCGGTCGCTGGGCTGCCTGTTGCTCAGCAACAATCCCAGCCGCAGCCGCCCAGGCAGAGCCCGGAGGCACCACGCCTGGCAGCGGGGGTGGAGGCGGGGGCGGGCAGGCTGGGGGGGGGGGGAGGGGGGAGGAAGGGAGGTGGCGCGGGCAATAGTCAAGGGGGTGGGACCAGAAGCCCCTCACAGACCTAAGAGACCCTGTTTCCATCCTGGGGGACTTTTTTTATACTGATACTCGAGATCAACACCCCCGGCTTCCCTCCTCTTCACTTCTCATTAAACCACAACTAAGGAAGCGAGACGGGCCTTCCCCAGGGCTTCCTGGCCAGAACTGGTTTCCGACAGAAGCAAATAGCCTAACCCCAGCCTCCAGGCCCAGCAGGAACGCTGCTCCCCAGAGGCTGGCCCAGAGGGCCTGGGAGCTGGGAGGCTGCAGGTGGTCCAGTGAGGGTAGCAGCTTCCATCGTAAGGAGAACAGTGCCCTCTGCTGGCAGCGTCCTGGAGGTGAAAGTCACCCGGCTCCTGGTCCTTCAAGGCTGGGTTTGTGGTACCAACAGCGCACACCATGGTGAGCTCATTCTTGCTCTCTGAAAGAATAACGGTGTGGGCGGGAGAATAACTGGGGCAGGAGGGAGACGGGACAACATGAAAGGACGGGCGCAGTTGGTGTCCACCTTCTTTGGTGGCTCCCCCGATCTGTAGGGAAAAACAGAGAAGCCTTGTACTTCCCCATGGGGAACCGCAACACAGAACCAAAGTGCAATTTATCTGGACAATGGCAGACGCTGCTCCCCAGGCCCGTTCCGGCCATTCCGGCCATTCCGGCCTGGGTGCTTTCTCTGAAATACACAATTTCCACGGGTCTAAGGGACCCGTTAAGTGTGTTTCTAAGACTGCCACAATGGGATAGTGCAATGGGGCCTGTACAGGGCAAAAGACAGAAATAAGTAGATCCCATCCAGAACGCGTCTAGAAGCCAGCTGCCCTGCTAGGCTGAGCCGGGGCTCCGCAGTGTTCAAAGCATAATGTTAGAACCCACAACTGCCTCTGCAGGAGCCCCATATGTTTTTTATAAAAAGGCACAATGTGAGCTTTGTTCTGTGCTCAATAGCGCCACTGTTGTCACTAACGCTTCTGCTATGAATGCCACCATTTAAAATTCCCACCCAGTTGCACTTCGTGACAATAGGCATCAGAAAACAAGCCCAGCAGCAGCGATTTCTCACTTTGGGGTCCATGGCTTTAAATACACATGCTTTCTAATGTGCCCAGCTTCCAAAAATACACTGAGAGTTTGCATGAGCCATGCTCTGAATCTCCCTGGTGTTTGCAGCTACAAAGGCTGAAGCAGACTTTCACAGGTGTATTTGAGAACCTAACACCGATTCTGGGTACACTGGGCCGATGCACAAATGGAGGAGAGTGCCTGTCCTGTTTCAGCCCCTCCAACCCCAGCCCACCCCCAAGTCCGAGTCTCTAGCACACAGACGAGCTGCCTCCCCGGGGCCTCAGCCCTCACAGGTAGGTCTACAGGTCTCCCCATGCCTCACCTTCTGCTCCCACCCCCAGCTGCCTCCTCAAGCCTGGCTGACCCAGGGGAGTCTCCATAGGAGAGTGGGATAAAGTCAATGTTGATAACATAATTGGAAGAGGAAGAAAGCTCTTGGAATGAATGTCCCCAAATTTCCAAGTGTATTGGGCATTCGTCAGGGTTCTTAGGCAGCAAAACATTGGAAAACATGGGGGACTTTATCCATATCCATGGGGTCTTGAAGGGAGGCAGTACCCCATTTCCACGACTGAGGTTGGGGGCTTGGGTAAAACCAGCAAAGGAGACCTGACTCAGGCAGTCAGGCCTCAGCTTTGGTAGTGATGCTGTTACCAGAACAGTTAGGGTTTACTGGTCCCTCCTGTTTTCAAACCTGGTTCTCATCTTCCTGATTCTCAGATGAGAATCCTCCCTGATATCCTCCAACAATTCCCCCTTCTGCTCTGGTCAGGTAAGGGGCTGTCTGTAATCAGTAAATAAGACCCTTCCCCCAAACCATGCTCAGGTGGCGTCACACTTCTCACATCCATTTTTATTGAGAGGAGAAAAAGGCTGTTTTGCATCTTAAGTTGAGACTCTGACTTGTCTCCTTGCCCTCCACCCAACCCTGACCAAGCCCATCTCTCATCACAAAAAGGGGGAATACTGCAGTTTGTAAAATCCATAAGTTAATTACCACATAATCACACGGCTTGGGTGAGGCCACATGACAATTCTCTGAAGTATCCTGGGAGGGCCTGGCTAGGTCATCCCCACCCCATGGGAAAAGCACCGAATAAACCAGCGTCACCCCCGGCCTCCTGAGTGAAAGGCAGGGGCCAAGCTCCCCACCGCCACCGCTGACAACTAAATAAGCAGAGGGGAGAAGGGCGGTTCATCCGGAGGACTGGCCCGGGGGGAAGAGGCCAGCCTGGGAGACGGGGGTTGGTGGCCTAGGCCGCTCCTGACGGCCTCCAGTTGGTCCTGAAGGAGCCGGACCCGCTCGTCCAAGCTGCGCTGCTGGGCCAAGACGGCGGCCTTGCCGGGCCAGGAGGGCGCAGTAGGCGCGCAGCTCCCCGGCCGGCAGCGCCC